AAAAATTTAATTTTTAATCGATCCTTATATCCATATAACCAATTAAACCAAATTGAAACTATCATACGACCAACGCATTTAAATACACATACTGTCAATGAAAAAAAAATAGAAAAACTATATCCAATATATGAATCAAATCATGTAAACAAAGCATAAATCAAAGATTGATTCATTCAATTTCTATAACAAAAAAAATTGTAATAATACGCTTTAAAACCCCATAACATAACAACAACGACAACTTTGATACCACTTGTTGGGATAAATTTCTTAAGCCAAATAGAAATTTTTCATTAATCAATATTAAGAACCGTTGTCTCAGATTACAGCGTTAAGGTTAGTAACACATACATGTATCTATTGATGTTGATCAAAAAGGTTGCAGCGGAATAGTTTTTTGATGCAATGATCTTTCTCAGCCAAATCATTGGATTTCTTAACAGGACTTGATATTCCTCTTCTGATGGGAAGACAGAGAAACATGTGTTTTTGATTTGGCATATTGGAGACCATGACCATTTTTATGATTTTAAACTTGATTAACCCCTAACGAGCCAAATCTGGTTTCCACTTTTTTGGGCTCATATCAATTTTTCCTATTGATAGTCTGAAGACTCACTAAAATTAGATCACTTTTATTGAGTTCAACTAAATGTAAATAACTAATATAAATACTACAAATAATGTATGTAGCCCACATTAATTATTAGAAATAAAATTTCTAACATAGAAGAAATGGATGAAAAGAGAAAGTAGAAAAAAAAATAAAAACACTACCATTTTATTCTATTTTGGAGGCTTTTCTCGAGATAGATTTTAGAATTTTTTAAATTTTAAATTTAATTTAATTTAATTTTTATTTCATAATTATTTATGAATTAAATTTTAATATTTTTAAAATAAATTCAACTTGCTAGCTCAATGATTTCACCATCAATAGAGGTACCTCAACACCACCATCTTTTATCTTCTAATTGCTAACAATAGTGTTCCATTTTTCTCTAGGCAATTAATCTAAACAAAAGAGATTATTTACAAGAGTTTCAAAATGAACTTTGATAATTAATACATAATTTAATCCTTTTTTGTAGGATTATCTTTTCCCCCACCTTAGATAATCATAAAGCAATAACATTTACACTTCCATTAAAATAGTTTTGATTGCTGGTTCAATGAGAGAACAGAATTCCCTCGTGTTGCCATTGCCTAGTCCTTAGTGGGCTAATAAAACACAACAAATATACAAAATCTGAAATAGAAACTTGGAACATATAATTCACCCATTAAATTCATAGCAAGCATGAATTTTATTATGCCTAGCTAGACTGCCGCATTTCTTGGTTACTGATTTTTCAAGTTTATGCATGATCACGAATAGTTAACAAATCATCATATTCATTTTAAACTAGAAATCATATGACGCAAGACTGTTCAAAGCAACTACTTATCAAGCATTTCAGGCAAAAAATGAAACCAAAATATAATTAATTCAATTTCAAGTCTGCACGGTTTGAAGATATCATCTTATAGTGTGTTTGGTTTTATGTTTCAGAAATGATTTTTCAAGTTTTAGATGTAATTTTCAGAAGCTAATAGTTATAACCTCTATATCTTAAATGTGATTCACTCTTTCACAATGAGTTTCCAAAGAAGCTATTAGTTTCCCTCATGTTTACATTTTTCAAAGCTACCATTTAATTGCAGCAAAAATATCTAAAGAATGGTGATTTTTCTACATTCGTTGTGCGTATGCCTTAGATATATGTAGCACTAGATGCTACACTTTCTAGGATATATATTGCAGCACCCATGAGGGGGCTTCTCAAAACCATGCTCATGTCACTCAATCACTTTTGTTTCTCCTTCCTTTCTTCTATTCATTCAATAAAGAGGATAATATCCAAATCAATTAAACTAAAACTCATACCATATACAAAATGGTGAATTACCTGGGTGATTATTGGGCTTCATGTTCTTCAGTGTGCAGTTCATGGTAACATCGACCAACTTCTGTGCTGATGGAAGCACTGAAAAAGAAATGTTTCTCTAAACTAATTAAAATTTAAAGGAAATAAAGTACTAAAAGAAATACTAACTCCGATTCGAAAAATATGTAACCTTGTTGTTTGAATTCCCTTTAATCGCGGTAGCAAACAAAGGAGTATATACCTAACCACGAAGGGAAAGAACAAAGCTTACCAGATATAGCTTCCTAATGCACGCTCCCAATGCTTTCCTTTACCTCAAATTGAGGCTACAAACAAAACGGCATTCAAGGAGACAGATCCAGCACCTCATTCTGACCCTTCAAATTCAACACTTAAAAAATAAAAATAAAACCCACAATTTGCCCTTTGAGATGCTGGCTTCTCTGAACCTTAGTGCATCGAGCACAAATTGTGGACCAAAATTGAGGGAGATGAAACATCTCCACGGTCGACACTCGACAAGGAGAGAAGAAGATAAGGCAAAAAGGAGAAAAACAAGGGTTTTGTGGTGGAACTTCTTCCGAAAAGAGTTTTCCGTTAAAATATGAATAGTAACAAAGACCGTAGCAACGCGTACCTCGAAGACCTCCATTTGGATTTCGTGTTCATCACCATCAAGGAAAGTACCATAAAAAGTCACGCTTTGAGTATAAGAATTAATAAACGGAAAAGAAATAGGATAAAACACGAGTAGATATGGATCAGATTATGGCACTCGAAACAGCAAAAAGATAATGGGGGAATTATAATAATATATAAATAGATAAGTTTGTGCACACTTCGCTTACCACCAAAATCAGAACTCGAAAATTGAACCAACATCAACCTACTATATTGTTGTATATTTATTGTTTCCATTATTTGTCAAACAAGCACGATTAACACACACAAATTGTAATACAAGTTCTTAATTATATTTCATCCATTGACTTGGAGAAACGAGACTGAGAGTGAAAATGAGACAAGTTTGTACCATAAAGCAAAGTTAAGTAAGTGAAATTTTAAAACGAAGAACAAGATTTAAAAGAGAAGTTCATAGATAGCTAAGTGGTGAAGAATGAGTCAGACAAAAGAAAAACATTATGAAGTAAGTTATGAGAGGAAACACACCGAAAGAGAAAAGGAGAAGCTGACAGATAGAGAAGTGAGCACGCACCCGCAATTGTATGCCCTCATACAATCATCACCAGCATGTGCTCACTCTCTTCTGTCAGCCTCTCAGTGTGTTTCAATATTGCATTAGTTTATTGTGTGTTCTCATCGTCTACTGCAAAGACATGCTCTCTCTTTCCTGAATTCTGATGAATGAGTCAAATGTCTGAAATCTGAAACCTCATAACCTCCCATTTTTGGCAAAGTGCTGTCCTCCACCTAGTAATCTATCTATATATATGTGCAGCTCAACCAAGATTAGGGTTCTTTAATTTCTTCATTTCTTACTTTCTGTCTCTATCCCTCATTTCCTTTTCTCCAACCACCAACAACCAAACTTTTTTTTAGTTGAAAGAAATATAACTTTATGCACTTCTTTCTTTAATTTCTTCTATTTTTCACTTAATTATTTTTTTAATAAAAAAGGAAAACTTTTTGACTTCCTGTGCATCACTACAGGATCAGCTGCATCTGGGTTTGATTTGATGACTGCCAACTAACACTTATTGTGGTTTCACAAGTTGAAAGGGAATACATGAAAGATGGATGATCGTGAATTGAAGTTGAATGTTATAACTGCTATAGATCCTTTGGTGCAAATTAGGTGCGTTTTTTCCCACGACTTTGCAAGGTTCCTGTTCTGGAGGAGACAGGAGCGGCAAACAGGACAAAGTAGTACACAACACATGACACCCAAATTAAACCCAACACTTCTCCTCTACAGTGATATTAAACGGGCACATAGCACTAAGAAGGTCACCAATATCTATTGTCCGGATAAAGATTTGTCCATCTGGCGGGACATAATTAACCAATGCTGTTCACATTGCTTCTTTTTCTAGTCCAAATATCCCCAACACATAGTCAAGGATTTTTTTTTTTCAGACCACATACGATGGTGATTATGGAAGGATGCCCCGGTGTGTCTTGTGGGTGCTCAGGATGGGATTGTGTCACCATCATAGTATACTACACATGACCCAGTCTCCTTGAAATGTCTATTGTCTTACTCCTTTTAATTTTAATTATCAATTAAAAAAATAGAAAAACAGGCTCAAAAAAGTTTATGATTGGATTATGAAGTACAATAATTTGGTCTGCTCATTATTGTCCTTTGGTTAATCATAAGTAGGAGCGGGTAGATGGATCCGGGTCTGCAGACTGATCCGTAAGTTTACGGACTTCACGAATAACAGACCCATTTTTTTTTCAAATTTGTATGATTATGTTTAACTTTAAATTATATAATAAACATTTAACTGTATTGTATAAAGTTAAAAATTCCGGTATATAAGTAAATGAACATTGTTAAAAAAGTGTTATAGATTCTAAGCAAGTTTATTCGAACCAATAAAAGCAAGATAGAATAAAAATAAATTTTAAATATGTAAATGTGTTTCTTTTAAACGAACACAAACCTCAATGCAGTTAAGTCGGTCGAAAGGACAGTTTTAATTAATTAAAAAAAAATTAAATAAATAAAAAAACTGAGGGTTTTACGGAGACCAGATTAGCAAAACGAAGTCCCAGTTGTGGCGTGTCATGTCATGTCTAAACTCTAAAGTGATGTGGGCCAAAATTATAATATCTAATAAATTTAAGGCTAAAAATGAAATAAACTGGTGCGTCATAATTAAAGAGTCGCTGTCGTTCCTGAAAATAAAAGTAAAAACGCCATGTTTGCATGATTGCATCTATTCTAGGGTTTATATGGTGCTGTAACGAATCAGTTGGATCAGAATCCAAAAAATCCATTTTCTTCTTTGCAAAGCGTTATCATGGCTTCGTCCAGGGACAAGGAACAACCGCCGCCGCATCACCACCAGCCTCTTCTCAGCAGCCTCGTCGTCCGCCCCTCCCACACCGAGGCCGCCGCCGGTGCCCGCGCCGCCGACTTCGAGCCCGGCGAGCTCCACCGCGATCCTCCCCCTCCGTATTCCCGCTCCGACCGGTATCCCGATGAGCCTGGTTTGTTTCGTCTCTCATCTCTGTTAATGACGCCGATGCTTGAGTTAGGTTTTTCAATTTCTCGTTTCTGAATATCGATGTGTTGGTGTGCCTTGTTGTTATTGAATTGGTTTATGGAAAATAGATTGGGGACGCGTGCGGTGTAAAACGGTATGAAGTTTGGCGAGTTTGCTTGTGGCTTGTTTGATTTTGAAGTTATATGTTTCGTTTGTTTTCACTTTCTGCTGCATCTGAAAGACTTGAACCTCGTTGGATTTTTTGGTGTTATCAACTTGACTATCTATATCACGATAATTTAGTCATTTGTTCGTTGATAGCAACAAAACGTGAGAACGATTGGAGATGCATTTGCAGCCCATAGTTTTAAGTTTTGAAGTGCTTGTTTAGTTTATTTTTGAGACAGCTAACTTTCCTGTGAGAATTTGTGTAAAATAGGTGATTATTTCCCCAGAAACAAACGTGATTGAAGTATAAATGGGTGAAAGCATAATTTTCAAGTAGAATTGATTACTTAAATTTTCTGTATTCGATTTATTTAGGGTTTGGCGATATATGATTTTCCGGTTAATGAATTATTTGTCTTTTTCGCTTTTGACTGATTTTAAGTATACAGCTGTGGGTTTTGCTAGATCTGCTGTGTATTCATTATGTAAATGCCACACATTTGGCTCTCCTATCGATTATGGAGTGTCAACAGTCAATAAACTTTGCATTTATGTGTTACAGCTTTGATGTTGCCTGCAAGATCTTGGGCCTTGAGGAAGGCATGTTACCATGAACTCAGCTTTGGATCATGTTCTGGGATTTTTTTTTATTTAAAAGGGTTAATAAATGAGTTGGATGATGGAAATAGTTTTGTGGGGGCTTTTGCAGCGCAGAATCTGTTGCATGGATTCTCATTTTGCAGAGTCACGGTCATATGTTTGGTTTGGGATATTTGTGAAAGTTAATACAATGTCAAGTTTAATGCAATTTGAAGTTATTGTCATAAATGCTACAGTGTGGGGAATGTGCTAGAACATCTATACGGTTACAGGATTTGTCGGGGACAGACACTGACCGTTACAATTTGTTTTCGGTGAATAACATGTGGTTATAACCAATGCCTGGCTGGTATTTCTAGCTTCTGCCGCAAGATTTGTTTGTGGGTGGGTGAATTTCTAATTAACCACTTTTGCGGAAGCTGACCTGACATTTTGGAAAGATAATGCTTTACTGATGATAACTTCATAGAGTTGTTGGTTATATTTGGTTATTTTGATATTGAACTCCTGGTTATTTCAATTCCAGATACTGGGTAACTTTTGGAACATAGTCCTTGTGATGATTTTTTTGGCTGGTGGTTGTCATTTTAGTTTCTATGGTTTTTCTTCTTTGGTTGGTTGATTAGGGATGATTCTGATGGTTCTTTATTTACAACATGGAAGGCTGTTTTCCAGAGTAGTAATCCCACAAGTGAAATTTAGGAACTTCTGTTATCAAATTGTTGCATAGCTTCTCTCCTGAATCCATAATGTTTTTCATGTTGATGCATTTGACTGGGACACCGATATGGCACAGAAAGGGGATGCGTATCTTCTTAACATGGAGGAATGCCCTTCATGTCTGATTTCTTTCTCCTGTTGTCTCAAAGTTACTCGGGGGCATAGTATATCCCAAAAAAAGGTGAATTGGTTGTTGACATTGTTGTACATGGCTTCAAAGGGGTTTATCTGCCTGGGCCATTCCTTTGTATGGTTTCTGCAAATTGGTGAACTATATTGCTCGAATCTACCTTTGGCTGTCATAGCATACTATCAGAGGTAGTTCCAAAATGAGTCCCACAAGTTGAAGTTTGGGATTTTTTGTGGGTCGGTGGTGTTTGTTGGTGGTTAGTTCCTTGTGGCATATACATTTTGATCTTGTGCTCCCGGATCTGATTGCTTTCAGAAGGGTGAAATGACATTGGTCTATTCTTTGTCATGTTGGATTAGTTTTTAGTAGGGGTAGTGAATGCTCATAACCGGGTTTTGAACTTGGTTCCTATTTTATACTCAAGTTCCTAGGTTGCCGTTGCTCTTAAAAATGAATTTGGATTTGATATTTCAGATTGTTAGGTTAAATGATTTGTAGTTTTAACTATATTGTGGTAGCATTCAGAGATGGAAAGAATTGGTATCAAGGATATAAAGGAGGCAACTTATTAGTGGAAAACCTTGCTCATAGAACTTGTTTACTTTATGGTAATATGGATCAGGTGTTTGGCAAGTGACATGAAGGTGTTGTCATGTAAACTGCTTGCGCTCTGCACACTTTTTAATTTTTGTAATCATAAGGAGGAAAAGCCCTGTGTGGTGGTAACCTTCCCTTTGGAATGTCAATCTGATTATATGACAGTTGCATGATCACAATATTATTGGATTCTACTGTAGATTGCAATGCTGAATTTTCCCTCGCTTCCTGTAAGTCACTTATTTTCAAACTTCATTGTCTTTGTTTTCCCAGGATATAGAATTCGTGCAGGTTCTTCATCTCCAATTCACCGTAGAGATGCAGATCACCGTTTTAATTCTGATTATAATCACTTGTCAAGAAGCCGGGGATATGGTGGTGGGAGAGATCCTGGAAGATATCGAGACCCTTCACCCCCATATGGTCGAGGTAGAGTAGGTGGCAGGCCAATGGGTAGAGCTTTTGATGGGCCTGGCTTTGTTTCTGGACTTGCTAGAGGGGAAGGTAACGGTAGAAATAACCCCAATGTGCGTCCTAGGGAGGGAGATTGGTTTTGTCCTGATCCCTTGTAAGTGCAAGTCTTTCTTATTGTGATCAGACTTACATTTTCATTGGAATTTAGTTGTTGCTCCTGCCTATCTTTTAATTAGCCCAAAGTTTTAAAATTGAGAGTTCAGGTTGTTAAACATCCAAACAGCTAAGATCATTTTGTGGAGATCATATTCTTTATCTGTACTATCTTGCAGGTGTGGTAATCTTAACTTTGCAAGGCGGGACCATTGTAACAGCTGTAATAGGTCTCGCAATGCACCTGCACATGCACCTGCTAGAAGTCCTCGGAGGGCTTATCCCGCTCCTCCACCGCTCCATGCTCCTCCTAGACGCTATCTTGGACCTCCGATTGACCGCTCTCCTGAAAGGCCATTAAATGGCTATAGATCTCCTCCTCGTGGGTTGGCAAGGGATGGCCCTAGAGAGTATGGGTCTGCTGCTCTCCCACCCCTCAGACACGAAGGCAGGTTTCCGGATCCCCATGTGCGTAGAGAGCGAATCGATTACATAGAAGATGCTTACAGGGGGAGAAACAAGTTTGACAGGCCACCCCCACTGGACTGGGATAGTAGAGACCGTGGAAGAGATGGTTTCTCTGATGAAAGGAAAGGATTTGAGAGGAGACCACTGTCACCCCCTGCACCTCTTTTGCCATCCCTTCCCCACCATCGCGGTGGCCGGTGGGCTCGTGATGTGAGAGAAAGAAGCCGCTCTCCAATAAGAGGTGGCCCACCACCAAAAGACTATCGCCGGGATACGTTCATGAACCGTGCAAGAGATGATAGGCGTGGCATGGGACGAGACAGAATTGGGGGAATGTATTAGCTGTGGCCTGTGGCTGTTTCATGTACTTCATTATGTAATATTAGCTTCCATTAGATATTGAGAGATTAGTTCCTGAATCTTCACAATATGTCAATGCATTGGAAAACTTTTTGACTCTGCTGTATTCGGTGGTTTATCGGTTTTGTTTTCTTTTTCTTCTCAATATCTTTAATTCAGATTTGTCGAACTGTTTTAAAGTGGTGAGAACATATTTTTTACTCCAACTCTTGGGGAACAATATTCATTACTACGCTTTTTATTCCTTCGACCCTCTAGACAGCTAGATAAAATAATACCTATGGCCTAGAAAATATTAAACAAAGCAACAATTTTTTTTCTTTCTTTTTCTGGAGTTTCTGCCATTATACGAAATAGAATTAAACACTTCCTGTCTCTATTAAAATTATAATAAAAATATGTTGATTTAATTGGTGTTGTAGTTTGTGTTTTAAGGTCTTAAATTTAAATTTTGAATTTGTTAAAAATATTATTTTTTAATAATAAAAGAATATAATAGTTTGTCAACAGTTGAGAGTAAAACAGTTAATAAAAGGGATATCTTTTAGGATAGATTATGGCAAAATTCAGGTTGTTGCAAACATTTCAATTCAACACAACCATACACCTTAATTTCATATACGAAGTATTGCCTACTTTTTTACTGAATGATTCTTAAAGAAGATATATATATATATATATATATATATATATATATATATATATTTAAGAGGACTAAAAATATATATATATATATATATATATATATATATATATATATATATGTAAACAGTCTTAATAATAGTCTTTCAAGTATTGAAAAATTCATCAAATTGCAGAGTAATTGAACTTGAAAGACTAAATTGGTGGATTATTCAATTTAAGATTGAAATTCTTCCAGCCAGTCTGGTTCGACATCTATCTACATGTGTGTTGACTGCTTAATGTTTCACTTTGCTTGTCTTCTCGCTTTCTCACTTAATATACCGCAGGATAAAAACGTTGATTAAAAAATATCAATTTAGACCAGTTGATCACACAAGAAAAAAATAATAAACCAGTTAAGTGTTTAATCTATTCAACTAAAAAAATTCGTTAATAAGAAAACTGATCAACGGGTAGAAAAAAATTCAGTTATTCAATTTTTTATTTTTAATTAAATCAAAATATCTTTTTAACAAATAAAAACTTGATGTCAGTCTATAAAGATCCATTATGAATTGGTTTTATTTAATCCCTGATTATTTTTTTTGAATCATATAATACTATTGTTTCATTCTAATTTAACATTTTTTTTAATTTATTGAAACACAAATTAAGTAGACTACTAAGACTAATAAAAATTAAAAATCGACCCAGCTAATTTAAACATTAATTTTGTTTGTGAAAGTGAAAAGGAAAGAAAAAAATTTAAAAAAAAAATGAGATACTTTTAACTTTTAATCTAACCTAACTTTACAATCTTTATTGCTTGCTATATTATATATATAATATTAAAAGTAGATATTTAACTATCGTTAATTCATCCACATGCCAATCAAGTTCCTCTTTGGTTTTAAAATCAGAAAGAGAAAAACCATGAGTCAAGGCAAGACAGTATCAATAGCAGAAATAGCACATGGTAATAAGTAGGAGGAAGGGGAAACATATTATACCATTACATTAAACCAATTTTCAATTCTCATGTCCCCAAAATTGTACTTGTATAACTTGAACAATATTAACTCTATAGAAATATTCCTTTCCCTATTTTATCTGTCTCACGGGAAATCTCAAGCCAGCTAAATGAATTGAAATGGCACACAAGAAACTGATTGCTGCTAGACCAAAAACCACTCAATTGTATGTGCATGCATTCTCTTTAAGTTTTATGGGTTGGTTGTTGTGGGAATCAATAGCCACTGTGCAAGACACATGCCTTCGATGTTTGGACCTCACCAACTTCCCAACAACATTCCCTCGCGATCTAACCTCAAACACAAGAGTCATTGGTATTTTTCCATTGTCGACCAAACCAGTTAAACTGGCACCAGCACCATACAAAGGAACCTTGCTTCCTTGCATGTTCACTGACACCGTGCGCCGGCTCTTTCTCGGTTGATAATACGTCTCCAGCTGCAGGATTGTGTATGTTAACATTATTAACACCAGAAGCAAAAATCAAACATTACCCTTGAACCAATCCTTCTAAATCAAAGAGTAGTGGTTGGTGTTGGATATTGAAGTTAAATTCTTACCTCACCAGTTGCAACTGCAATTTCAGAATACATAAGATCCACAGCCTTAGAGCTGACATGAATGCCGAAAAACGTTGCGGGGTTATGCACTGTCATTCTCACTGAACAATTTACTGTCAGCATCTTGGATGGAACTCCTGTCATGTCCGCCCCTTCTCCGAAGTAGAAGTTGTGTACTGTCAAACTCTGGAAGAAAAGAATCATTAGGTGACCTTGAAAGTTCATTAATAAATGTATAGTACAGAAATGGAGATGGATAACAAAAGCATGCTATTTTGAGTTCCAAAGAAAATTGAATTTTTTTTTTCTCTCTTCACATGGATATATATAGCCAACGTAGTTTCAAGAAGACACCTATTATTATCATGTGTGAAGCAAGCAATTCTAAATTGTCAGCTGAAAAAACTTGTGAAAAGTTGGAAAATGAATAAATAAATAAATTCAATAAGGAGGCACAGCTTCAGCTTGCAAGATTGTGAACTCAAACAATGACCATTTTTTTTTTTTTGAAATGTGATTATTAATCAGATGTGCAAAGTGCATAAAAATGCCCACATGTTGGTCAAACTGCATATTACCATCCCAAATAATCCTGTCATCTATGACTATGAGGCTATGCCTTTTAACCATCAAGTCTTGTCTCAAATCACGCCACATGAGTGTCAGATTCAATATTCCCCTGTCCCAGACATCATCTTAAATCCAAGAGGCTAAAATCTCCCTCTCCCTCTTTTTTTTTTCCTCCCATGCATCCTCATCGGAAACAATCCTGTTTGAGACACAGTCAAACATTAAATGTAAGTACCTTTCTCGCAGAGACTCGAATCTTAGTTCGCCATACTGCGAATTACTAGCCCCATCGGCCACACTCAACTCAACTCTTGTTGGTACAGGCCTAATTATCTCTACAATTACAGACAATAATCATCTCCTTCTAACTACATTACAAAAACACTAAAAGTCTGATTCGATATCTCTACTTAGGAAAAATTCTTTATTTTCAGTAAAAAAAAAAAACAACTCTTTTATACTTGGATCAGAACATATTTAAAAATCTTTGTTCTATGAAAAAACAAAGCAACTAGACAATATAATATACAATTATATACACCTTCAAAGTCAACCACGATTTTTGTTTATTGAATTTAAAAAGCCAAAGTGAAGCAAGTTGCAACATTCTCCAACATTTAAAAAAAAAATAAAAAACATTACCTTAACAGTGATCCGAACTTTGTAAGGCCTAGCAGCCCCAGCAATGATCAAACAAAACACAGCAAAAATCAAAACAAACCCAACAACAGCAACGAAGATCTGAGTCCTTCTCGATAACCCTTCTCTCTCCTCATCGTACCCTCCCTCTTCCTCGATCACCTTGCCCTCCGGCCACCCTCCGTCGCCGCCCTTGCGTGTGCCTTTGTTGCTCTGGTAGTACCCCGACACCCTGCTGGAGGAAGAAGCCCTAGAGTGGTGGCCGTAGGAGTGGCGCGACGGCGACTCCACGGGGCTGTTTGGCGCCGGCATCGTCGTCGAGGACTTGTTGTCGCCGTCGTGGGAGTCCCGCGACGGACTCTGCACGTAGTAAACGGCGCGTTTCGGCGACGACGACGTGTCCATGCTCGTGACGTCGGAATCGGTCTTGGCGTGCATCATGGTGAGGACCCAGATGGATTTTTGCGAGCAAGATGAAAAATTTAACGGTGCCCGGGTGAGAGAATCGAGAGATTTAAGTTGAATTGGTTGTGGGTATGATGTGAATTGAGAGTGGGGGTTCTGAGAGTGAGACAAAGGGTTTCATTCACAGCTGTTGGTTTGTGTTGTGAGCTGTGTCGTGTCGGATGATTTCATGAGACGAAGTGTGTTGGGTTTTTCAGAGAGTTACTTTCTCTTTCAGTCTGTAACAACTGAGATACACTACTTCTCTATCAGTTGCCAGAGTATGTTGTTACCTCTTTTGCTTCCACTTTTTTTTTTCTTCTTTTTTTATCTCCTTATTTAATTAATATATTACCAATATAATAATTATTAAATACTCACATTGGGAAGAGAATTTATATCCGATCTTATATGACAAGTTTTCATGAAGAGATGAGAAATTATAACTCTCACTCCAAAAGGAATGTTTAAACATGGTTAAAAAGTCACATGATATCTATTTATTTAATTAATAGAGTGAAAAACTTTAAATTCTAAGTATTCTTTTTAGTATTCTCAGAAATATTTATTACTGAGAACCCACTTTCAAAGATTATGTGTGTTTATCTATCAGTTAGATAAGTATTATTTTATTTATTCTATTTTATATTCACACCATTTACCTGTTATCAATTTTCAATAGTTAAGGTTTAAATGGAAAGTGTAGATGTTTGTTTGTAAAAGTCTTATTTTCTTCATTAAAATTTTATCTTTAAATTTAAGTCATTTTTAGGAATAAATAAAATATATTTTTTATTTTATTTTATTTTATTTTTAGTATGAATGTATTTATTAAGTACTCGGTAAATAATAAAAAAATTTATTCACAAATAATTTCAATTTAAAAACTTTTTTATTTATATCAGTTCATTAAATAAATGAGTGAATTTTGATTGTTTTCAACCATAAAATTTCTAAAGATATATTTTTTTTAAGAAATCTATTTTTTTTAACTGGATTATAACATATTTATCGATTTTCTTAATGGCTAATTTTCACAAAAAAAATTTGATTGATTATCTTATATGACATCAAACCGGAAGTGAAGACTTTACTTAAGGGGACCAAATCTAATACTATTTAGACCAACGCCTTATTAATTTTAAATGTCTAATTTAATATATAATAATTATATAAAAGAAATGTTTACTTTTTACTCTCTATAGTTTAAAATATATTTTATTAGTTCTTATATTTATCTTTTTTAATCACTATAATTATAGTTTAAACATTTTTTATTTATATATAGATCTGCAGAGTATTAAGTTATCCCTACTACTTCTTCTTTAGACTTATATTTAAGCCAAAAAAAATAAATTCTATTTTTAATTTAAATATAAACAAATTTTTTACTAAATCAACTTTACTTAATATTCTTAAACCTAGAGATGTCAAAACGGGCTACCCGGCCCGGCCCACCACGGGTTGGCCATTTGGTGGGCTAACCTAACCCGACTCATTTATTAGTGAGCTCAAAAAAATTGAACCCGGCCCGGCTAACCACGAGTTGGTGGGTTAAACGGGTTGACTCACCTTTAAAAAAAATAATTTTTTTTCATTTTTTTTCTTAATATACAACTAAAGTCCAAAAATTTAAACTTGTTTTAAAAATATGAGATTCTTAATTAAGACATCCATAAATGAATCATTTATCCCAAACATTAAATGATAATTTTAAATACAATCAAATCAAATCTAAATAATCTCAAATAGATAAATATAATCCAAAATCATCTTAAACTTCAAATATAATCCAAAAATCATCTTAAACTTCAAATACAATTTAAAATCATAAAAATTATAAATCACAATCCAACATTAAATCATTATTGTCTTATGTTGGACTACACCATGGCCCAATAATTATTGTATTTTTTTTATAAAAAAAATTAATCACGGGTTTGTGGGCCAGCTCGGCTCACCACGAGTTCAACCCGGGTGAGCCGGGTTGTTAATGAGCCGGGTTCAAATTTGACCCGTATTGAAATTTTCAATTTTTTTTCAACCCAACCCGGCTCGAACCCGTGGTGGGCCGGGTTGGCTCACCAGGCCAAGCCCACTTTGCCAGCTCTAAGTAAGATATATGGTTATACAGGATTACACAGTTGGAAAAATCATGATGAATCATAATGCATCTATAATTCAGCTGGTGATTGATTATGTAGCCAGTTACTCTTATTTCTTCCTATCGGTTTCTCACAGATTTACAGATTTCTTCATTACAATAAAAATGATTTCTAAGATGGTCATCTCCTTCAACATCTTCTAAAGTTGGCTCACCGGGCCAAACCCATTTTGATAGTTGTACTTAAACCATAAATATATTTAAAAATGAAAATATTATATAATAAATGTGATTAAAGATATTTTAATTAATATAAGATACATTATTATATAAAATCATAAAAATTAAATGTATTTAATTATTTTTTTTAACATGTGTGAATTTAATTTTTAATTATATATAAGTTCAGGATATTACTCATGGAAGTAACAAGAGTAACATGTTTATTTAACTGAACACTTCTGTGTTTTTTCATTCGTGTGACTTCCTTTTTCCAATTCATGTGAATTTTTAGTGCTTGGAGTAATGATCAATTAAAACAAGTGAAACTATATATATTTTTAACATAAGTAGACCTACTGTTTAACACAGTCTTTCATGTTAATACAAGTGAAAATAATTTGTATTCCTTATTAAGTTGATTCAAGTACATTCTTTATATATATGTATTTTCTTATAAATGTAAGAAATAAAATAATTATACATTTTTAGTAAATACTTATTGTATCATATCATGAGTATAAGAAAATGTATAATTATTTTATTTCTTACATTTATTTTTTTTTCAAATACGCTAAATATTTAGTTGAGTATTAATCAAAAGGATCATATACATACTCTGGCATTATTGGTGACATTGTTACTAGCTTTCAGTAACTTAGGCTTATAATTTTTCTTTCAATAATGAAAATGGCTAGTTCTCTTTATTTGAAATTCATAGCTTCATTTACATGAAGTATCATTCTTTCTAACATTTTCATACCCGTTTGATGGAGGGAAAAAATAGTTATGCACAACATACGATTTGCTAATAAGAAAAATAATTTAAAATGCAATATATGTTAAGAGAAGAAAGGAAATAGAAAATTAGATCAACACAGCATGGAAAATTACTTATGTTACGAAAACTTGTTAAGAAATAAGAATCTCTCAAACATTGAAAGAAAAAAAAAATAGAAATTTAAGAAAAGCTAACATTGGCCTCATAGAGAAGATTAGATTTATCTACATTGAATAACTTCTGACATATGCTTGTCTTTTTTCAATGATTTAATCATTGGCCAAACCATAACATACAAACCCAAATTCTAAACCTAAACATAATAGAAACAAAAACATGAATCAGATCGACAACTTCAGATCATTGAAAAAAAGAATGAAAAATGTTTTGCAGAGAAGAGGGACTCAGAATATGGGTGGTGATATATCAGAGTGGTCGGCAAGGCCCAATTAGGCCAATTACGACGAACGAGACCTAATATCAAAATCGTCACTGTCCCTTTTGTCATTCGAATACTAACAAACAAAACAAGTTCGTGTAAAAAACATTAGAAGCAAAAACACAGACCCCAAGATTCTGAAGAACGTAGATGGAGATAAAAATGTGATCTTTTGCAGAGGGAAAGAAAGAACCCTAGAAATAATTAGGTTGAGAGGTTGATTTCAACACTGTGGATCTAAGTTGTAGAGCTAGGGTTTTAAAGAGTAACTTTGGGCTTTTTCAAATTAGAACAGTTCAAATAAGTGGGTTTATTGTGCGGGCCTTGTTTTCATCACATCTCTTTTGGCTAATTATATATGCACCTCCTTTTTCTTATAAATACACTTTTTTTTAAAATTAAAATATCTATAATTTTTTTTATTCTTTAAATTTTTTATTTTACATCTCTAACTTTTAATTTTTTATTTTTTCTTTTCACACACCTCCTTCCTTTTCTTTTCCAGTTTTCATATGCATCATCTTGTCTTCCTCTAATTCTTCATCTATTTCAGTGAATAATTTTAATTTTCTCGATTTTTATATTACTCTCTTATTTTTCACTTCTTTCACTTTTTTACATGCACCAAAATCATAAAATGGTAGGCGACAATATTGTAAGGACATGTAGCTTCCTCGATAGTTTCTATCAAACTAGACACACATTTTTTCTTCTAACACTACCTTTCCTTTCACCCCTCCAAAAACTTTAACATTAAGTTTAGTATTTTGAAAAAAACATTTTCACTATCCTAGAGTAGTGGATAGTGAAATTAGTGAGAAAACTGAAAGAGGGAGGAAAAAAAAATAATGTAAAACTAAAAAAATTAAAATTACTTATCAAAATAGGTGGGGGTGAAGAAAAATTAAAGGGATGCATGTGAAAATAAAGGAAAGAGATATGTAAAAAAAAGTGTTAAATTAAATATTAAGAATGTAAAATTAAAAAATTAAAATTAAAAATATTTTAAGAATTTAATTTTTTTTTAAAAAGAAGGTGTACTTATTAAAAATATATATATATATATAGAGGAGGGTTCAAACGACACCGGTGTAACTTTTACTAAGTGTTACACCGCTCAATAACTTTATATTAAATGTGAATTTTGAAAATTCAACCGTTAGATTGAAAGTTTATGTCTCTTAGATCATATATGTCAAATTTTGTTAAAATTGAACAACAACTTGAAGGTAATCAAAGTGTTCATATTTTAGTATATTTTAAAATGTATATATGATCTAAGAGATACGAACTTTCAATCTAACGGTTGGATTTACAAAATTCACATTTAATATAAAGTTATTGAGCGGTGTAACACTCAGTAAAAGTTACACCGGTGTCGTTTGAACCTTCCTCTATATATATATATATAGATATATATATATATATATATCATGATCCTCTCTTTTTGTTTGTTATTCTCACATCTATATTTTTTTAAAATATCTAAAATATCCTTTATTCACTTTTTTCTAATCACCCCTTTTCGAACACCCTCCAAAAGAGGATAATTGGGCTTGTTCAAGAAATAAAATTTAAAAAATAAAGTAAATGGGCCTAATAACAGTAATAATCAAAACTATATTGATAGAATAATCAGAGCTGTTCTTTGAACAAATAAACCAGTTTTTTTATTAATTAAAAAACAAATAAATCAGTTTTAAAATTCAGTAGTGCTTTATTTTTGTTTTTTGTTTTGTTTGTAACCATATTTAAAATATTAGTATTATAACGAAAGTATTCTTGTTATTTGTAATTTGTTGATAGACTTATATTTACGCTTTTTTATATAAAAATAAGAAAAATAGAAGAAAAAAAACAATAAAAATAAAAAACGTGTCTTCTCTTATTCATTTCTCATAAGTATTTATAAATTGTTATTTCATTTAAATAAGAAAGAGGAAGGGAAATGTGATTGGAAAATGGAAATTGTGAGTGTCTATCAACCCGTCCAACATAAAATAAACCGTAAAAATTTAAATGACAAATTCATTTATAATTTTTTATATATTAAATATGAATCTCTATCTCACGAAAATATTTTTAAAAAAATTCTTCATCAAGAGAATTTTTAATTTTCTTAATATCTTATCTAATTCAGATTTTATTTACATAATTATTTATAAATTAAATTTTAATATTTTTAAAAATAAATTATCAATAAATAAAAAACAGTGTTATAATATAAATTATTTGTTATAAATTTAAAATATAATTTGTTTAAAATTATCTATGTATAAAAACTTTAATTATAATTTATATCTTCAAACATAATATTTATTTATATATATAATTTATTATAAAATTCTAATTACATATAATAAATATTTAACATGTATATTACCCATGTTGAATATCGGATTAGATTTCATGTACAATTCAAATTGAGAATTTAGATTCGATACAAGTCATATCAAATTTGTATGCACATATGTAATTTTATTTATGAAACTTTATACCTAAAAACCTATTCAAACTAATCTATAAACACTCGAATAGATAATTAACCAACTTCAAAACCTTTGATAAAGCACACTAAAAATAGCACAATAATTAATAATTAAGCATTTTGTGCAAACTAATTCAGGGTCATGTTTAGGTTAATGAAAAATGATAACTGCATAGAAACACAAACACTAAATTAAGTTCAAAACCATCAATCACTCAGCACTACAAAATTGAATTGCTATAACAAGTGGAGATTATACACAGGTAAAAATTCGAGACTCCAAGCAGAGAATAGAATTTTGTATGGTTGTCAAACATGCTAAATTCTACATTCTTACACAACCGAATGTTACACAAGCCACCAGAGTCTATCACTTTCTCTGGAATCAATCAAGCAAATCCAACACTTCCATCCGCAACACAATGATTGCATTATCATTCTGATGGCTTCATATGATACCAAGGAACTAAAACATGAATAACTACTATGTCATTCACTCTCAGCTTCTATTGGTTCTACTTATATCCCCAGGTGTGATGCGTGAATCAATCGTGGATAGGACTTGCGGCATGGACATGCCTCCCGAAACAACAATTTCTGAAATTTTGAAACAAAATCAAGCATGTATTAAAACTAAAGTGGAAAGAATTATTATTATGCCTTTTAGTTTGCTTGTATCAAGGAGCAAGCAAGTGATATCCCAAGAAAAACACACACTTACATATGCATTCATTGCCTGCAACTTGGAAGTACATAAGCTGGCCTAGAAAATTACAGGTTACACATATACTAATATAGTCATAGGTACGTATAGAATGTAGATAGTATTACTTTATAGTAGGACCAAGAGTGTCATCAAGGAACATGTAGAAAAAAGTACGTGAAGAATATGCGACTAAGGGTAGGTATAACTATCACTACTAATTTTGTCCCTATCCTATTGCAAAGACTAAACCTTTTAGTTCAAAATTTAGAACACCGTGAGTAGAGAGAAAGCAATAAAATGGAAACTCAGTAAACAAATTATCTTTGCAATTACCAAAAAACCACTGTAAAATAAGTACACGTGTTTTGTCTTCTATAACTCAAGACTTGTAACTATAAAAGTAAGAACGACTCACCAATTCCTTCACGAACTGATAAATTTGGCCTAATGACATCCTTCGTGTTAACAAGAAATATATCACCGATATAAAGATGATTTGTTGGAACATAAACACAGCATAACTCCTCATCTCCAGAATAGTTCTGTAAAATTTAGTTTTTTGTTAAAAAAACAGGATGCAGAAGTTCAATTTGCAATGTTGTATAAAATCTTAATAAACACAGATAACCATCAACAATTGGCCATAAACCAGTCTCATCAAACTCGGAGCATCAAAAGCCTATCCATATGGAAAACTTCCTATAGCTTATTGTATATATGGCCTTAAAGATACACAATAATTAAAAAAGAACATAAAAATGCTAAAATCTAAATCGCAACCAACAACATCAGAAGAATGGATCATGGATGCAAGGAATGGCACAACAATAAGGAACCAAAAAAATTGCCTCAGTCATTCCAAGAGTTGTTATTATTCAATATTCATAAACAAGTGGCCAAAATGTAATTAGTCTATTATTAATCAAACCATGCCAAACAAACATTAGTTATACATAGTTTGTGATTCATAAAGTGAAGACCACTGAACCGGTATATCAACCAATCAAGACAAATATTAGCATCCTATCACTCTATCAGAAAGCACGAAGCTATAAAAATTAGTCAAAACTATTTTCTTCCATATTGAGCCATCTCCATCATTAAATATAAAAATAACTAAAATTACATTATAAGTAACTTTAAACTAACAATACAAGTAGTAACACCAGGGAATCATAATACAACTCCAATTCAAGCAAAGATGCAAGTAAATGTTCGGAACTTAAAAGCCAACAAACATCGAAGTTTCATAGAAACCTGAAGGATAACAGATGAGGTGATGAATCCAAATGCATATTCTCCAACACGTGGATGCCGAATGATGGCTACTTCTTTGAAGGCTTGTGTATTTTGATCTGTGACATTATGCATGTTAGCATAAACATTTCACAAAAAATTTCATTCATAAAAGTACCACAATTAAGAGTTAGATGTTGGCAAACACTCACCTGGAGAGATAGCAGCACTAATCTGCTTGGAAGCACTATAAATATGACGAACAAGTGGCATTCGTTTGATAAACCACTCCCCAAGGCCAAGGACCGATGCACCCAACCATGATGACATAAAAACCCCAACCAAGAAGATGAAAGTTATGGAAGTTATGAATCCAAGACCTGACCAAATATTAGCAAATGATGTCGACATGTTTCAAACAATAAAATCAATTGAAAATTTTTTGTTGCACTATTGGACATTTCAACTTTCAATAATCAACCCAAATCTAGGCAAAATCATAGAAAATTAAATAAATATTATGAATATAAACTCAATTAAATATGTATCACTAAATAGCCATATTTTAGCACCTCAAGTAAAAAAACATATATAATTTTCTTAAAGCAATCGCTGTCATAAGACAATAACTTGTTGGTGCAAAAGAATGAACTTTGTTACAATCTTTACACAAGCAAAGGTTAATTTATTAAATACCATAAAAATAAGCACTTACCAAAAATATCAATTCCAAGTTGAGCGTAAATTGGAGAGAAGAATCCATCCACGAAATGAATAAACCAAAATGTTATATAGAAGGTGATTGCAATTGGAAAGAGAATGACACTGCAAAAAGAACTAGCAGTGAGATATCACCAACTCAAACAGAGAAACAAAGGACCTCATGAATTCCTAAAGGACAAAGCAAACACTGATCCAAATAAAAAAAGGTAACAAACATAATTCACTAAACCTTAGAAATGTACAAGCAAAGAGGGTGAATGACAAGAACAAATATTGTTAGCACCAAGTATTCTCAACTAAATCATCTTTGATTACTTAAAAGTCTATCTATTTCTCCATCATGTTATCCATGAAATAGCAATGAGATTATTACATATTTTGTGGTAATTATATTAGTTAGTGGTGTTCACTTCAGTAGGTGATTTGAATGAAGATTTATGGTCTCTAGATTATAGAACCCAGGCTTTTCATTCAATTAAGGTTTCCTAACAAAATAGGGTATCACCTGGACTTTTTGAATATAACAAGAAATATATAACCTCCGCTAATAGAAATGAGAGGTAAGAGCTTTCAGCAAGCAACTATTATGTTCTGTAACTTTCAGTTTGGAATGAACAACACCAGAAACAACTAAATGCCAGTAGAAACAAAAGGTTGATAAAAAAATTAAGAAAATAAACCAAGTCAAAGGATACAAGGCATGCAAAGGGAAAATTCATTTAGGCAACCAACAAGATCATATGTAAGAATGCAAAATACATATCATATATCCATATGCTTTAATATGAAGATATTGGAGAGAAGAAAGAATCACGCACCATCCTGTCATGAACTTTTTCGATGCCCAGCTTCTAACAACTTTGTAAAATGTCTACAAAATTGACAGAATAATAAATTTAAAAATAAAAAAAAAGACCAAGCTGGCAGACAACTTGTTATGAAGGCCGAGTAAATTCTCATATGCAACTAAAAGAGCGGGATAACTCTCTTTGGTATTCAAAAGCCTGAAAACAAAGAACATTCACTTCCAATATATGCAACTATACAATGTCTTTCTACTTATATATAGAAAATTTTGTTACATTATATAGCTTACAATAATAAGCACTAGATAGTTTCATTTTATTGCGAATTTTGCTACCCGTGTTTGAATCACCCTTTCGTTCAGTTAAACGTTAATCCATTGTGAGTGTGGTATTCAGTTGAACATGCATTGGAAAGTGTGATTTAAGTAAAACAAACACACACTTCATTTTGAAAACAATTTGATGCATGGTACACACTCAAATTATGATCCACTTAAATCTTCATTCTATCGAAGCTACACACTGCTCTCAATTCTGCAAACCAAATTTTTTTTTTTTATTTCCTTTAGCACAGCATGAACTCATCCAAGCTGAGTCAAAAAGAAACTGCCGATCCCTCAATCCCTAACTGGTTCATCCCCAAAATAACTCTCATTCCAAGTCAAGGAAGAAACTTTCAAGTAAATCCCGAAACCCAACGCATTCAACACAGTCCAAATTGAGCGAATTAGAGGGAAAAAAAAAAAAAGGGGAACGAAATCGGATTGAAGTGGTGAATTAAAAAACCCTAATTGGGAGAGAGAGATCACCTCGCGTCCAGCATGATGCGAGGAGGAAGAGGAGGAGGAGGAGGGCTTGTGGGATGAGGCGGCGGCGGCGTCGGCAGCGGCGGTGTCAGCGACGGGGATGAGAAGCTCTCGATCTCTGTCTCTAGTGGTGATGGACATGGAGGATTTTTCATCGCCCATTAAACGACGCCGTTTTGGAATTGAAAACGCAGAAGCTTGTTTCTTTGTTGTGTCCCTCGGAGAGTCCAATGCACAAACCGGTCTTCGCCTTCCTCTTTTCTTTTCTCTTTTAAATAATAAATAATTTTATTTGCTTAAAATATGTTTCAACTCTATCTGTCTATCAATATCTCAAAAGTCAATTTCTCTGTACTAGTTATATTCAATTCTAATTAAGTATTTTAGTTTTTCATTCAAAATAATAATTCTAGTTTTTAACCTCAAAGTTTTATATTCCTACCAAAATCAACCATCTTAGCTCACTCCATTGGTTCACCACATATTACAATTTTAAATGAATTCAACAACTCTGTTTAACTTTTTTTGATGAATCAAGAAAATTCCAATTTAGTGCGACTTACCACATATTGATGAGATGATTCATCGAATTTTTTAAATAAAAATTGCAAATAAATAAATAAATAATGATTCTTTTTATAAAAATAATTCATACTTTTTATATCAAAACATTCATTTATTCTAATACAAATAATAACACTAATATTTAAGGATCATGTCATTTAATGATTCATATGACTAATTCAAGTAATAGCACAATTCAAATAAGGTGGTCTAAGAGACACCATTTAAGTATTTAATATTATCATCTAAGTAATATTATTCAAATAAAGTAGTCTAAGTGATATCATTCAAATGTTCAATACATTAAAAAAAATTGAATTACTAAATTATAGGTAAGTTAAATGAGTCATTCTCATTCAAACTTATTTAATTTGTCAGTTAAACAAGTTAACTTAAAATTAGACCAAGATTAATGAATTTTTTTTAACTTAACTCAAACTTATAGTGAACTGAGTTGATCTACTAGATTCTAATATGTTTTAACACCTCTAAGTAACATCAGTGCTAGATTATCATTGAATTCCTAAGATATACTTATCATATATTTTAATCTCAACTATAATTTTTATTTATTTATTGTAATTTAAAGATTATCATTGAAAATTTACGATTTTCTCTTTTAAGAGTTTCTCAATAGAAACTCCGCACACAAACGTACAAATATTTAGTATGTATTCAACATTTTATTTAACACGAGTTGTCTTTTAAAAAGATAAATAAAAAAACAACCGATGAAATATAAAATTTAATAGATCAAATCAAATTAGATAATAGATTTAATGGAATCACAGTTTTTTTACGATCAAATTAATTTTTTTTTTTTTTACCTAAGAGTCCATTCAAACTGAATTATGAATGCCAGAGTTGATAATTATCCAACTTTAAAACCTTTTTAAGTGTAAACTGTTGACGCCTTAAAGGCACAATGTACTAGGCTTAGCTTTTGCTAATTTACTTATATATTTCCTTTGCACTTCGAAACTTCAAGTATTTACTGGTCAAGGGATACAAGTCTATGCGATTTCAAGCGACATTATCCATCTATCAATTATCAAACTCAGCATGTAAAATGATAAATGCCCCACTTTGCTTTTGATACTACTTTTTTGTAGATGCTATGTTGATAAATTTTGGCACAAAAATTTATAACTTCAAGCTAATTAACGAGTTTTGGTGGCATCTTGAATAGTTAGTTGGTTAATGATAACCGCATAGAATAACTGCATTAACTGAAAAATTGGATTGCTATAACAAGTGGAAAACCAGTGGATTATACACAGGAAAAAATTCGAATTGAATTTTGTATTGCTGTCAAACAAATGCTAAATTCTACATTCTTACACAAACGAATGTTACAGATGCCATCAGAGTATATCACTTTCTCAGCAATCAACCACGTAAATTCAATGCTTGCATCCGCTACAGAATGATTGCGTTGTCCTTCTGATGGCTTCATCTGATACCAAGGAACTAAAACATGAACTACTATGTCTTCACTCTCAGCTTCTGATGGATCTACTTATATCCCCCGGTATGACTCCCGAATCAATCGTTGATAGGATCTGTGGCATTGACATGCCTCCCGAAACAACAATTTCTGCAATTTTGAAATAAATTCATAAGTTGAAACTAGAGTGAAATGAATTATTATTATTATTATTATCATTATTATTCGTATGTCTGTTAATTAGCATGGATCCACTATCCAGTGATATCCTAAGAACAACACACATACATTTACACATAAAGATAGGTACGTATAGAATCTAGTTTGTTGTAGTAATCTGGTATGTCGTAGTACTAGACACTAGTAGGACAAGAGAGTCATCTAGAAACATGTAGAAAAAGGCATATTAAGAATATGTGACTTAAGGTGTGTTTGTTTTGCTGTCAGGTTCCGTTAAATGAGGCTTTGAATCTTGTGTTTTTGCCAAAACAAACACACTATAAGTGTATGTGACAGTTAAAGTTTTAGTGCACCATGAGTAGAGAGAGATTCACAGAAAGGAAAATCAGTAAACAAACTATGTTTGAAACTTGAGATTTTGAGTAAATATAAAGGTAAGAACCACTCACCAATTCCTTCACGAACTGATAAGTTTGGCCTGAGGACATCCTTGGTGTTGACAAGAAATATATCACCGATATAAAGATGATTTGTAGGAACATAGACGCAGCATAACTCCTCGTCTCCAGAATAGTTCTGTAAAATTTGAACATGCAATGTTGTGTAAAATCTTTATAAACACAGAAAATCATCAGCAGTTTACCATAAACCAGTCTCATCAAATTTGAAGCATCAATAGCTTATCCATATGGAAATTTTCCTATAGCTTATAGTATATATGGCTTTAAAGATAGCAACAATTGAAAAAGAACATAAAATTGCTAAAATCTAAACAGCAAACAACATCAAAATAATCATGGATGCAAAGAACGGCACGACAATAAGGATTAATGATAATTGCTGCAGCCATGCAAAGAATTCTTATTCAAAAACAGAGGGTCAAAATGTACAACAATAATTAAATTATTAATCAAACCAAGCCAAAAAAACATTAGTTGCATATACTTTGCATTATTCATAAAGTAAAGACCATTGGACCAGTATATCAACCAAGGAAGACAGATTAGCATCCTATCACTCTATCAGAAAGCATGAAGCAGTAAATTAGCAGAAAAAAACTATTTTCTTCCAGATTAACACAGCTCCATAAAAAAATAATTAAAATTACATTACAAGTAACATTAAACTATTAATTAAAGTAGTAACATCAGGGAATCATAATGTAATTCCAATTCAAGCAATGTTGCAAGTAAAATATGTTCTGAACTTAAAAACCACCAAGCATTGAAATTTCATGGAAACCTGAAGGACAACAGATGAGGTGATGAATCCAAATGCATATTCTCCAACACGTGGATGTCGAATGATAGCTACTTCTTTGAAGGCTTGTGTATTTTGATCTGTGACAATATACATGTTAGCATAAACTGTTCTCACCCAATATTTCATTCATAACAAGAGTTAGATGTTGGCAAACACACACCTGGAGAGATAGCAGCACTAATCTGCTTGGAAGCACTATAAATATGTCGAACAAGTGGCATTCGCTTGATAAACCACTCCCCAAGGCCAAGGACAGATGCACCCAACCACGATGACATGAAAACCCCAACCAAGAAGATAAAAGTTATGGAAGTTATGAATCCAAGACCTGACCAAATAATAGCAAATAATGTCAACATGTGTCAAAGTCAAACAATAAAACCAATTGAAAAAATTTCGTTGCTCTATTGGACATTTTGACTAGCAATAATCCAACCCAACCGCAGGCAAAAACATAGAAAAGAAAAAAAAATATTATGAATATATAAATTCATTTAAATTTAAATATGCATCCAAGAAAACATAAAACTAAATAGCCATATTTTAGCAGTCTCAAGTAAAAAAAAAATATAATTATCTTAAAACAATCCCTGCCATATGACAAAATGAGTTGTTAATGCAAAAAAATAAATTTTGTTACAATCTTACATAAGCAAAGGTTAATTGTGAAATTCCATAAAGCATGATCACTTACCAAAAATATCAATTCCAAGTTGAGCATAGATTGGAGAGAAGAATCCATCCACGAAATGAATAAACCACCATGTTATATAGAAGGTGATTGCAATTGGAAAGAGAATGACACTGCAAAAGAATTAACAGTGACTAGTGAGATATCACCAATTCAACAACAGAAACAAAGGACCTTATGAATTTGAAAAGGACAAAGCAACCACTGATTCAAATAAATACAGGTAACCAACATAATCTGGCAAAGCTTAGATATGTACATGTAAAGAGGAGAATACTAGACAAGATCAAATATTCTTAGCAGCAATTATTCTCTACTAAAGCATCTTTGATGACTTAAAAGTCTACCTATTTCTCCATTATGTTATCCTTTTAATCTAAATCAAGTGATAAGATAGCAATGGTATTATTACATATTTTTGTGGGAACTATGTTGAGAATAGTAATAAAAGACTTTATATTAGTTAGTGGTGTTCAGTTAGTGAATAAGAGATTTATTGTCTCTAGATTATAGAACCCATGTTTTTCATTCAATTAAGATTTCCTAATATGAAAATAAAAGGTATCACTTGGACTCTGAATAATATTACTAGGGGTACATATCCCCCCTAATAGAGACGAGATGTAAGAGCTTTCTAATATCCAGCAGCTCTGATACTTTCAGCTTGCAATGCAGCACCAGAAATAACAAGATGCCAGTAGAAATAAAATGTAGATAGAAGCATAAGAAAATAAACCAACACTTCAAAGAATATAACGCATAGGCAGATTCATCCAGGAAACATAACAAGATTAATATCATGAAATTGGACAGAATAAAGAAACACGCACCATCCCGTCATGAACTTTTTTGATGCCCAGCTTCTAATAACCTTGGAAAAAGTCTACAAAATTGACAGAAACAACAAAGAGCAACTTATGAGGCAAAATAATCATGAAAGCAGTATAAATTCTCAATGCATGCAACTAAAACAGTGGGAAAACTCTCCGGTATTCAAAAGCATAAAAAACAAAAAGGAACTTATTGTTCCATTATATATAATTTTTTATATCCATGTTGTTGGGAGATATTGCTTAAGAGGATAATTGTACAACTTATAATAAATAGCACGAGATAGCTTCACTTTATTGAATTTTGCGATACCTTTTTATTTTGAAAACAATTTGATGCATGAATCATGATACAAACTCAGATTATAATCCACTTAAATATTCAAATCGAAGCTACACGCTGCTATCAATTTTTTAAATCAAATTCTTGGTTCCCACAGCACAGCATAAACTATTGATCCCCCAATCCGCAACTGGTTCATCCCCAAAAAACCTCTCAATCCAAGTCAAGGAGGAAACTTTTAACTAAATCCACAAACCGAACACATTCAAAACAAACCAGATTGAGCGAATTGGAGAAAAAAAAAAAAAGGAAACGGAAATGAATTGCAGTGGCTAATGAAAAACCCTAATTGGGAGAGGGTGGAGGAAGAGATCACCTCGCGTCCGGCGTGATGCGAGAACGAGGACGACGAAGAAGACGAAGACAACGGCTTGGGGGACGGGGCGACGGAGCCGCCGTCGCCGGCGGTGTCGGCGACGGGGATTAGAAGCTCTCGATCTCTGTCTCTAGTGGTGATGGCCATGGAGGAGTTTTCGTCGCCCATTAAACGACGACGTTTTATAATTCAAAACGCGAAACGCAAAACGCGAAAACAAACTTTTTCTGCTTCTGAAACTCGTTTCTTTGGAGAGTCCAAAGCTGCAATGCACAATTGGTCTTCGCCTTCTTTTATTCTTTTTTTTTTCTTCTTCTTTTCTTCTTTTAAATAATTTTATTTGCTTAAAATATGATTAAAGACTATCTGTCTATGAATGTTTCCAGTCAATGACTCTGTGTATACAAGTCACACTCATTTTCAATTCACTATTTCAGTATTTATTAATAAATTAATTAAATTCTAGTCTGTTTGCCTCAATGATTCAAGTTGTTTGATTTTCTAGAAGTAAAACAAATCATTTTAGATAATAAATACATTTTTTTTGTCAAAGTAAAAAAAAAATATTTTTTTTTTGTCTTTATTATTTTAATCTTTAAAGACTTTTTTTTTAAAAAAATTAGTTATTATAATACAAATTTTAAAAATACTTAAAAATAATTCATTGTTAAGCAGACATGACATAGAATTAATAAGGGCACCTATTACTTCTTTACAGGCACACGTGCATGTGATGTAATCACGTAATAACATTAGGGACTATTTTTAAAAATTAAAATTAATGATTTATTTAGAAAGATTAAAATTACATAAAATTATCATCATAGAAACAAAAATAAAAAATATTTTAGTTTAATATTAGATTGGTGACCATGGAACTTGGACCATTAGGTACGATTTTTTTTTTATAATTTTAATTTTTAATTCCATAAACTTTAAGATTAAATTGTTAATAAATAAGATAAAGGGTTACAAGGGTTGTAATTTAAACTTTAAAGTAACACTATCTACATAAGCTTAAGAGATTGAATTGACATGTTTATAGGGCTACACGTGCAATGAGATTGGATCCAATTTTGAGAATTCTAAGATGATGAAACAAATAAGACCAAATTCTTTTATGAGACCGGTCCAAGTTTATGGGCTTAATAAATGATAGATCGAAAGTGTGTAATTTACTCAATTAGAGTGATTAAAATAATAACCGTTGATATTAAAATGGTTTTTTAGAATAATATTAAAATACTTTAAAAAGTATTTATTTATACTAATTAATTGATTCGAATTTAATCGGGTTGAAAAAAAAATCAAAACTCAATACACCACTCAACCCATATACTCTTCTTTTAGATACTTACTCAAACCAAATTTATTTAAAGAACAATAATAAATGAGCATTCATGTATTACAAATACTTGTACCAAAAATTATATACATAAATATTACTAACATTCATTTGTTTTTTATTTATATACATATTTTACTTTTTATTACGTTATATCACTTATATTATATATATATATATATATATATATATATATATAGACAGATATGTAAGGAATAGTACTTGTCTTCACTATTATTTTACGCACACATACTTTTTTTATAAAAAGAATATTTTTTAAAATGTAAAAGTTATATTCTAATAAAATAAATATATATGTTTAAATTATTCTATGTATAAAATTTAAGTTTGGAAGAGATTTTCATTTATTTGATGTTTGTCAAATTTTCGAAGGAGATTAATTCTCATATGTGATGAAAAATATTTCTTGATAACGAATCAATTTTTTTTTAAGTTTAATTATAACATATATATATATATATATTAATGCTCACATATATAATGTAATATATTAAAAAATAAATTTTTGATAAAATAAAATTTGTAACATGTATGTTTATTTTTTATTTTTTTTTATTTTTTGTATACACTGATTTTAAAAAAATCAAAATAATAAAGATTGTAAGATTTATATTCTATTTAGAATTTTTATCATAAAATATTTTAAAATAAATTAGCATATAAAGATTTATATTAGATATTAAAAACATGTTTATATCATAAATAAATCAAACTTGATTTTTATAAAATTTAACATATTTATTTTTATATTTGTATTAGTGTTAAATTATTCTAAAGTAGACATTTAATGTTGTAGTTCTAATAAAACATTTAAAAATGTCTATAACAGATAAATAAGTCATACTTAGAATATGTATTTTTAACGAAAATCAGACTCAAACTTACTAAATTATAATATAACATAGTTTGACTTAATTTATATTCAAATCTAATCGTAATCTTATATATAAAAGCTTGTAAAAAATAATTATGATATATATATATATACTTTTAAAATTTATATATAAAATTTTTAATACTACAAATATATGAATAAATATCGTCTTCACTATATAAAGTTTCTGGATACTTTTAAAATTTATATATAAAATTTTTAATAAATATATAATTAAATATTTTCCCCACTATCTAAAACGTTCATTATATATAAAGTTTCTAGATTCGTTATTATATATATATATATATATATATTTATATTCCTCTCAATGACAAATAAACATCATTATTGTTGTTTTTTTTTAGTTAGTTTCAGTTTTTGTTTTTCTATTACATCATTAATTTTCCTCCCGATGTACATGCATCATTATTATTTTTAAATGGTTTCAATTTAGATCACAACATATTTGATCAAGAAAAGTCCCGCACAAGTGTAGATTAGTTGATTGTTAAGTTAAAGAGTTAAAGAATACTGAGTAGATCATGTTAATGGAAAAAACACACACACACAACTTTGCCCTGGTAATCACAAATCAGTACTTGGTTAAAGTTACCTGCCAATGATTTCCATCTCTTTTCCATGTTCATGAATAGCTTGAAATTATTAGTATGGAAGGTCAATGAATGAATGCATTATAGATATTTCAATAGTATGAGTATTATTATACTATTCTAAAACATAAGCTTCTCATACCAAAACTATGCAACTTCTGCAGCCAAGGGGTTCAACTCTTCTTTCTTGTATCAATTTCAATGAGTCCTTATATACAAGGTGAAGATGCTGATATCTAAAGGCTGTATACATCACTGTCTCAAAACATGTAATCATAAATTTACAATTACCTCCTCAATCAATCCACCTAAAACTAGGTTCTCCACTTCATTCACAACTTGCTCTGCTTCATCTGCAGAAAATCCATGCCTCCAACCCCAGTTCCATATTCCATTCATCAGTCCATTGTTGCTCTTTATATCTCTCTCCATCATTGCATAGATATTATCTGAAGCTAGCTTTTCACTGTAAGATGTCAGATTCTCAATGGCACTATAGACTTCATCAACCAACCTTCCTAAAGAGATGTGCATTCTTGGATTCCCTGAACAAGTTAGCAATAAAGGGTGAAGTGCTTGTGACCCCTGAAGGCTTTTGCTCTCAGTGAGTTCATTTGCACAATCCAAATAAAGTCTGAGATTGGCTATTTCCTTGGTTTCACTTCTTGGTAGGATCTTGAGACAATCAACTTCAAGATCGAGGAACTCCTCTGCGTGTTCAATAAATGATTGGCTAGTTAGAAGCGTATATTTCAGCTCATCACAGTCTTTGTCAGGCTTGTTGCAATTTGTTTCACTGATATTTGTGCTGTCTTGAGATTCCTCAGCAGGGAAAGGTTCATTTTCATGTTCAGATTTTAGCATCAAAATATCATCACCGGAAGAACTCTGGCTTTGCTCACAATTTTCTGCAATGCATAAAATGGGAAGATATAAGTTATGTAAAAACATTATCTATACATTTTGTTTCAAAAATGTTGCATGCATAACCTCTCACCATCTAATTATTTAACTTAAAATTAAATTGTGGCAACGGTGATGACGAGTTTAGAGAAATTTACCTGTAATCTTATTTGAAGTTGCATGTATTTTTTCACACTCAATTGCGAGATCATCTGTTATTGTAGTGATTATTTTAATCTCAGGGCAATCATCTTTACAAGAAACATCAACACTCTTTGGTTGTTCTTGTTCTAACTGTTCCTCCTGTTCAGAAGAATAATGAATTAAAATTCAGATTGAAGGCCTTGTTTCATTCATGGATTACTAACCCAAACTCAATTTTCTAAGAGATGGATCAATACTGTTACATTTGCTAGAGACAGAAAATGAAAGCAAAATTCAACTTACAACTGGTTTAGCTGCTTCAGGCTCAGCAACAGCAGACCTTGGCTTCTTCATCTGATTCTTTCTCTGTTCCTTGGAATTGCTGATTTTCTGACTCTTTGGTTTTGAGATGGTGTTTGAATTTGAAGCAGTGATCTTTCTAAGTGGAATCTCATTCTTGTCAATTCTGGACCCACTTTGTGGCTTCCTCAACTTTGTACTAGTTGAGCTGATTTCTCCTTGATCATGAGATTTTGCCACAACTTTAGGCTTTGAAACCTCTTTTTGTGGTAGCTTTCTGCTAATAATATTGGTAATGCCCTTTACCTTAGCTTTTTTATCAACATTTTCATTTACCTGTGATTTGTGACTGACATGACAATGCAGTTTTACCTTCCCTCCTGGAGCCTTCTCATTTTCAACAGGCTTGATTTCTTTTTCCTTCAGTTCCACAACCTCTCTGAGGACCTTAGTTCTTTCCTCTTTGGCAAGCCTTTTGGATACATATTCTTCCATTTTTTTCCCCATGTTGGCGGTTGAGCCTTCTCTGTGTTGGAAAATTTGGGAAGGGACTGCTTTTGATTTTAGATTTCTAAGGGGTAACTCCTCTGGAGGAACAACATGCTCATAACTTCTCATACATTCCTGATATGGAGTACATCGCGGTTTTATAAGCACAATGGGAGGTAAATCACCAACATGTTTATAATGTGGATCAATGAAATGATGAACCTGAACCTTAGGCTCTCTGACAGGACTTTTCAAAAGTCCATTGAAATGAGTAGTTTCAAGAATTTCCCTCAAGGTCATCTTATGTTCCAGATTAACCTTCTCAACATTTTTTCTTACCTTAGGCATATCTATGTCAAACATAGGCCTCTTCTGATTGAGAATCTTTGGACTCTCCAACTGTTTAACAGCTGGAAATGATCTTGAGGGGGCTTCTTCCAAGCCCATCAGCTTGGCAACAAGATTAGGTCCTCTTTCCCCCCTCGAAGTTGTGGGTGAGAAAGAAGAATCAGAAAGCCTATCATTCCAAGCCACAGAGGATTGGCTTGAGTTTGTAGAGTGGAATGTGGATGCTGAATCCAACCCTTCAGTGTTGAACAAATTTTGCCTAACCAAGCTCTCTGTAATCACCTTCTTGAGTTCCTCAGTACAACTACTTGAAGAAGCATCAGCTGAAGGGTTCACCCAACGTCTTTGGAATCCCATTGGACAACTTTGTTCTCCAAAATGATCACAATGTGAAGTTCCATCAACCACCTTTGCATCAAATCTGCCTCTCTCAGGCTTCCTATCTTGTTTTCTCTTCAAACTAGCCGTGTTTTGTGAAGCTTCTTGCACCTTGCGAAGCATTAATAGAGATTCTTGCAGGTCAAGAGCCCCTTTTAGCAAATCTTTTGCTATATCTTCAGACCTTCCATCATAGCCAAGACCCTTAGACCATGACTCAATCATGTTATTCAACCTTTGAGCCCCTCTGGACACCTCCATGAGCTGCAAGGATGATGGATCAAAGGACCTTTCTGTGGATCCTTTTGAAAGCTTCTCTTCTTTGTCTTGTTTGGTAGCCAATGATGCCTCTGCCGGCCTCCTAGTTTTTGTCTTGTCCTTCATTTTGTGAGAACTGGTCCTGTATTTCCTTATAGCCCCACACTCAACAACCCCTTTTGGATCATCACATGTCATGAATGGTCTATACATGACTGAGTCTTGAGGGGATATTCTGTCACAGAAATTTCATCAACAAACTGGGAGGCTAGTAATATTCTAACTACCAAACCAAATGACAATTGTTATTAAAATCTCACACAATACTTACATGGTCTTGTCCTCTTGGATCTCACAGTTTGTCTACATCAGACAAAAATAAGGCTTGTTTGTTTCCCCACTGAAACATAAACATGTGAAATTAATTAATTATTCCTCATCAAAACAACAATTCTATCAAAAGAAGCAGATAGATCAACATAGAAACAAACAAAATGTCCCGATCATTAACACGCTCGAATTTGAAAAATTAAACTACTTTTGCACATGTTTCCAATTGGATTCTTGAAGCGAACACAGGAAGAGAGTTGGAGATCCGCAAGTGATTCTCCACTGGAATCAGAAATGACCCAACTTAGAAATGATGCCAAAAACTCCAACTTTAGCCACTCACAATCATAATTTTCAAGAATCCAGTGGCAAGATGAAATATTTTTGTGATCATCACCACATATTTTCTTTTCTAGATTAATAAAAAAAAAACACCATTTTTTGTTCCATCCCAGAGTTGATGAAACCAAACATTTCACCATCCTCAATTTTCAAAAGAACTCAAAATGCAACAGTTGAATTGAATTAAAAAAAGAGTAAGAAATCATACGCTTACCCTTGATTTTCTTTCAACCGTCCACCACTTTCAGCAGCGCCAACCCCACACCCAGACGAGAAACTCATGAAAAACAAAGAGAACACGAAGAAAAAAAGTAACTTTTATGGTGAGGAGCCAGGAAGGGTTAGAGAAGCTTCATCCAAGTTCACTCGGAGCAAGCAAGAGACTCAGATCCACATGGGAGAAGAAAACACTTCACTCGGTGCATTGACTTTGTGAGAAGGGTAGCTAATAGTATCGACATTGAACTTCCAAAAAAAAAAGAGAAAAAAAAAAAAAACACTGTATAAGTTACTTAGTGCTGTTTAATGAGTAGTTGTTGAGACAAGAAAATCACTGAAAGATCATGGATGTGAAAAATGGCAGCAAATGTACACAATGGTGGCAGAAAGAAGCAAAACAAAGCAAAGATGATTCAAAAGCACACGGGTCAGACAATCACAGAGTGAAGTAAAAAATGGCTCCACGCAACCAGTTGATGAAAACAAAAAATTTAGTACTTCTTTTTCTTCTAAACTTATCATGTCATTAATATTTTTTTAAAAATGAGATTGCCATATAAAGGGTGTTTTTATGAGGCACTTTTGAAAATGAATAATAAATAAATAATGTAGTTGGAACTTAGAAGCAGAACCAACCGGGTCCTCACGGCACTTTACTGTTCTGAAGATTGAGATTGGTCAGCTATGGCCAATTCATTAAGCTTAAATTTCGTTATTTGCTGTCATACGTGAATGATTGCCCTTATAATATCAAATCCTATGCATGCTAAATGCTACTCAGATTACAATATTAAAATATATTCCACTATTTAACGTAGCTCATATTCAAATTTAAAATTATTGATTAAATTGGTCATCACACGTTAATTAATTCACGCACTTGGCACTTTTGTAACCTTGTCTCTACGTCTTATTTTATTTATTTTCTGAGAATTGAAATGAATCGAAGGTTTTATTATTATCTTTTGTCACGTAGCTTGAACAAAAAATAATGTGTTAAAATGATGCAGTGCATATAATTCATGCATACGACAAAACAAAAACAACTAGGAACTAAGCAATGAACGAACAATACTTTTAAACAAATTTTTTACACATTCATATATACATTGTAAAAGTAAAGAGGAGGATGAATTGGGGTTACGTTCAACTAATTGTACACTTAGTTCTTGTTTATGTAAGTGTTGAAAAAATATTTCTTGCACGTTTTAATGAGAAGTATTTTTTTTTTTGTCAGAGTAAAACTTATTGAGAAGTATTGAAAAACTTAGACTTTACATTACTCTTTAATGCAAAGTATAAGTTTTAATGTAAAATTATAATTAAAAAGGGTTTAATTTAGGTATATTATCGGTATAAAAAATCATATTATAAACCGATTAAAAACTATTCTTAATATGAATTTTAAGTAATTATTATAAAACCAATTTATATATTTTTTTTAAAGTTTAAAATCTAATTGAGCACATATTTTAATTACATCTAATAATTCAAAAATAATTTATCAAACTCAATCTCACCTAATTTTAAAGAAAATGAGTCTCTAACTCTCAATTAGGATACCCTAGGAGGAAAAAATGAGGCCTACATGTTACATATTAAATGCGCGTTTAAACTTTTAAGTTAATTCTTTTAAATTTGAAATTTGAACAAAACACAAATCCACCAACAAATTCTTACAAATTATGAAAATTTTCTACACTTTTAAACATCCTACTTAATCATAATACTTTTATCATTAATTTATTACCATTATTTGTTATTAAATTTTGCAGGCACTGATTACGTATATCATTTGTGATAAACATAATACATGGGAAATAATGAAGTATTATAATGGTTAAAACTTTCGGTTGTTAGGTCAAATTCTTACTAGAGATGAATTTTTAATTAATTGCTAAAGATCCACTTGTCCCTAAGCAGCAACCAAAGTCTAAATTTGCCGGCATATAACTTCATTTGCAAACCAAATTCTCAACATTTATTTAATATTAATATGAAGGAATTGTTTTTATTAAAAATTTGACTTTTTGCCTCACTCCCAAACATCATATGAAAACGGGTGTTGTCATCTGTAATATGCACTTCCTCACAGTTCATTTTTTTTTTTTTGTCACTTTTTATTTTTTAATTCAAAAAATAAATTAAGAAGAAGAAAAAATTGCAAGAGAACTGAAAATTGAAAATTTGTGTATATCTGTTTATGTTTGACAAAGGGGCATTAATTAAAAGCAATCCATTCATTGTTCACACACCTCATATGAACCTATGTACCTCTTATAATAATATTCATTAAAAGCAAAGTGTTACTAAAGTATTGCATTAGCTGAAAGACACATAACCCCACCTATATCTTTAATTTTGAAAATTTCCTTATTGCATTGTTGTCATAATTAAACATACAGGAAGTATATATACCTATAAAATCTATGCATTTCAGTCATTTTGCAGAGCATGTATTAAATAAAGTAGTAACAAGTAGCTAAATCAACCAACCTAAAGTCTATAAATAATAAATAATTAACTACATACCACGGGAAATTTGCCGGCATCAAAGGAAATTACCACCAGAATTTGTGTTACATTTAACAAAAAAAAAGGATTAAATTTTCTTGGTTTTTGAAACGAGTAAAAAAGTTATTTACAATATCATAAAACTTTAAGAATAGTAGTGAAATTTATTCGAATATTTATTATGTGTTTGCTTTTACGTTGTGTATGTACATTAACATTAAAAGAAGCAACAAATGCTAGATTCAACTTGATGCAACAAGATATCACATACATACCTTATCTATTTGTCAGTGCATTTCACTTTAGTGACTTTAATATAAGAATTTGAAAATTTTCATGCAACCAACTTATTAATAATTTAACGTAAACATCTCATAAGAAATCATAGCAAAAAAATAAGAGAGAGAATTCTATTTTTTGCACTTTCACAATTTCATACAAAACTAAAATTACCATCAATTTTTGTTTCCTAAATAAGTCACCATCTGCAATAAATTCCAAGTTTTCACCCTTCATCTGTAATATTTTTACACCTGGCAGTTGGTACCCTCAAAACTCGAACAATTTAAAAAGAAGCTATTTCAATGGCTTTTTTTTTAAATTCAGTCACAGGACTCTTGTTTCATTTCACAACCCTGCACTTGGTCCCTATAATAAATGTAACTGAAACCCTCACCAGTTCTTTTTCCTTCTTTGGTTGCAAATTTGAATTGAACTCAGCGTTTGTTATTTTAAAAAAGGGTACAACTTATCGTTTAAACCTACACAGTGACCACAGAATTATGGTCGTTGCAATTCAATAAACGTGGATACCATATTAATTAATACTTATTCATGCATCAAAGTACATTGAGAAAAAAAAATTATTCAACCAAGTATCAAAACTTCAATGTCATTCCAAACTCTCTTGAATTTTATTTATAATATTGTAATTGTTATTGATCCAAAAGATTTTTATACATATAATGAGAATGAAATATAGAATTTAACATGCTAACTTCACTATAACATAATATGTTTAATAAAGATGTGAAATTTCATAACAACTAAATGACTCCTTAAAGTAAGATGAAAATTTTACCATTATGATTATAATAAATTATCCTATCACAAGAAGTCTAAGAAAGTTTTTACAGTTCCCGCTTCATGAACAGACATTGTTTATAAAAGCAAAATTTGCAACGATTGGGGAAAAAGTGCGTTTAATTGCAACTGAAATTGATTTAGACAAACAAGGAAAACAAAAATTGACATGTAAGCTTGGCCCATTCCTCAATTATGGTGTTGCAATGCTAAAATGAGTGTAGCCTTTTGGCTACTAAATTTTAAACACAACTTTTTTATTTTTAACTTTTTTTATGCTTTACACTGTTAACTTTTCCTCATCAAAATTTCATCATCTAATTCAAATTTTTTCATGTTCTGTCTACTTCTGGCGGTTAAGCAAATAGAGGGAAAGCATGAAAGAGGAAAGGGTCTTTAATTTTGAATTTTGTGGCTAATTAAATGTGAGCAACATGGTGTTATGAATTTTAGCAAATACGTATCTCAGTGTGACATTCAAGGTAAAAGAAGAGTAGGGGTAGCACATATATATATATAGATGGGTCACAATGGCTAAAAATAAAATAGCTACCAACCCCTTTCCCTTCTCATATACAAACCTTTGCATTAAATAATTGCTACATAAACAAAGCAATTCTCTTTTGGTGTCCAAAGTTTCTTTCACATCTATAGAAATAGCCTTCAAAATCTCCATCCAGGCACTATCTACAAAATTTGAATTTTAAATTTAGAACAAAGATAGGTTGGCCTTTGCCATGCAATCCTACTACTATTGTGTCTTGTCATATGGAACTTAGTATGAGTTTTTACAACTTTATCTATCAACTCATACCTTTCCAATTCAATCAAACTTGTTCGGTTAAGTATTGGATTTTAGTGTCGAAAATCTAATCCAATTCAAACTCAATTTATTGAATAAATATTAAACTTTACTTGTATCGAATCTTTGTTGAACATAAGCATGCACAATAAAAAATAAAAAATTTAGTTCATGCATTTAGAAGTCTATAACAAGCCTATTTCATATGATGAAAAAAAATTGATTCAAAATTTTATACTTTATAATTAATAATATTGTTTATATATTTGTTTAATTTTTTAACATGAATAAAATGATTATAATATTGATTGATAGAATTTTCATTTTCACTCATAGATTTTTGATATTTATTTGAGTGTAGTGTTTTGCTAATTGTTAAAATAATTTTTAATTATTTATACTTAATAATGTGGTCCAATCTAATTCATTATTGATTGGATTGAATCAATTGGGATGCAATAACATAATTCAACTTAAACTATTTTAATCATTAGTATAACATCTTTCATAAAATTCAACTCAGTCACATCCAAAATCATTGTGCATGATACATTTGCATGAATTTGCTCAAGTCGGAAATTATAATAAGGGGCAAGCCAGCAATTGTACATAATCAAAGAGACAAATACGAGGGTCCAAGAATTATTTGAAAATAAAATGAAATAAAGTAAACTAAAAAGATGTAGTGTTTAAAAAGACCTAACTGGCTTTGAATGATGTTGAACACGGATTCTCATACACATGGACCCACTCCCATAATAATAATAATAAAAAAAAACAGGTTCTGGTGTTCCTTGTATTTTTGTGACCCATGATGGGTGTTGGAATGAGACATTTTGTTATCTAGCTTCTCCTCTCACTGCTCGATTTGATATTTTTGTAGCCTTCCATTGTTCTTATGTACGTGTATTCATATGTTATATAATAATTATTTGGAGCACCGTCGTCTTTTCATGAGTTGATTTCTATGGAAAATGATTTAAAATTGTAAAATCATGGTTAAGATAATGATAGTCAGTGTAACGACCCGGCAGGTCATTACACTCACCATCACAGTACACCGGAAACTCGAGACCGGATAGAACGAGTATATAAATATAGTGTCT